ATGAAGTTCCTGAAAGACGAACGGCAGAAATTACATTTAATTTAATGCAAAGATTAGTTGAATCAAATATTCCGATGTTTGGTATAAAAGCGGTTACTCCCCTGCTCCTTTTAAATTATTACGATATCATTGATGGATTCGTTCCATGTTCACTTCACTGCGTTGATCGAGGTGTAGGCAGTCAATTTACCAACTATTGGTTAACTCCAAATAAGCCCTATTCTATTCCTCCGAATAAAAAAAAAGCCATTGATCAATTGTTGAAAAATATCAAAGTGCCAACTCAATTAACACGATTGTCACGTTCTTTGAGTGATCGAGCGTACTGGAAAGCAGTAGAGTGGTGTAATTGGATTCTTTTTTATAGTATACCGATATTAAAATTTATATCTCAAGAAATCCCAGCGTTTGAAGTGTATATGAATCACTGGTCGTTGTTAGTTGAAGTCTATTATATACTATTACAAACTGAAATAACTGTAACAGAATTACATAGAGCAGATTTGCTTCTAAAACAATTTGTATTTGATGTAGAAATTTTGTATACAGTTGATGCAATGACTTACAACGTACATCAGTTACTACACTTAGTACAGAGTGTTGCTGACTGGGGCCCATTGTATACACATAGCGGATACGTATTTGAATCAGGTAATGGAAAAATTAAGAAAACTATTTATGCAGCTAACGGTGTCTTAAGGGAGTACCGTCGCTACGTAACTAGTCAGTTGAGAGGGCGCTCAGATTCGTCTTTGACTCACGTTGTTACAGTTGAAAGTTTGGCAACGACGCGCTTCTGCTACGCTTTGTATTCATAACGATAACCTCAATATCGACACCACACATATCAGCGGTTACTGTTCGTCAATATTTAATTTCGAGTGAGACTTAATTGAACCAAAATGTATCGTTGCATTAATGCCATATTTTTAATGTTGTTGTTACTATAATTTAACAATATTTACGTAAAAAATCTGCGAAGATGTTAAATGTTATTATAATAAATATCAATTTTATTTGAATAATTTTTTCTCAATTCAATTTCTATCTTAACAAATATATCAATGACGAGCGGTGTGAATATTTTGAAACATGCGCACACGAGAGAGCACGTGGCGAAAATGCGACGTTGCCATATCTCCAACTCGCTGTTCTCAGTTTCATATTTTGGACAGAAATTATTTATTTATTATTCTCACAGCTTCTGAATGATATTTTTTCGAACGGATATCGTTTTGAGATTATTTTTTGCATACCTCAGAATTTTTTTATAACATTCTCATTTTTAAAAGCTTAAATATTCAGTAAAAAGTGCATTTTCCCATAAGACTACATGTTATTTTTAATCGTTAATTTCTCGTCTCACAGCTTCTGAAGGCTCACGAAATTTGAATCACAGTTTCTTAGCACTATAATACACCTACCATCCAAGTTTCAAACGATTCTCATTTTTAAATCACTTTCCGACGGTACTCCCTTAAGCCAAGTGTGTCGTTATCTTTCATTTGAAGAATGTGTAAAAAAACTAGAAAAACGCGTAGAAATGAAAGACGATTCATTATGTATGGACTTTATAAGATATTTAGATGATAATTATACTGAAAAAAGTGTTAAGTTTGCGTATAGATATTTCGGAAGGACGGAAACAAATGAAAACGTTCTAAGGCAGCACGGACTTTCAATAGAAACAGTCAGAGCTTATAAAAAAATTGTTAAAAACGGGTGTCCATTTAAGTCATGTGAAAAAATATTGTACAGATCAGACAATTCATTTGCTAGTTTACAAAATGGAGATTATATAGAAATTCAATAATTTCTTGTAAATATGGCGGATGGAAAAGAGTACGTTACATTTAAAAAGGTCGAAGTGATAGGTGATGATAATCTAGTCAGTGATGAGTTACGCAACATAAAGCAAGTTACAGAAATACAGCAAAATATTGATATAACATTGACAAAAAATATTGATAAAACGTGTGTTTACATGGAAATTGAATGCGGTAAATTTATATCAAGTGTTCCGAATATGTATTGGAAATAAAGTGATTTACCAATGTCATGTATATATTTTTCTACTTCTACTTTATATTATTTAAATAAATATACCTTTAGTTTTTGCATAATTAATTTTGATTTTATATTTTGCGTTACTAAATTAACAATTTATTGTAGTTAGATATGATTACTTGATTTTATGTACTTTTTTATAATACTATTAACTTATCGTTGAAAGTATTAAGTTTAGCTAAAACTAAATATGTATTTGAAAATTTTTCATAAATTGTCCATATTACTATTCATGTTCATTATGTAATGGACAAAAAAGAAAAAGACCATCTAGTGTTAAATTCTCCATCAATTTTTTGAACATCTCCATTTTCATTGATAAATGCCGATGGATTTCTGTAAAATCTGTATGCGTTCGTGAAAATCTATACTTAAAATTAAAATTAAGAATCTGGATTTGACATCAAATCTACTTGGAACCCTTAGTAGTCTCAAAGTATTTATCAAAGTATTTATAAGGTTCAGTACCTACAATTTTGTAAAAGATTATAAGTTATTATTGATATAACAGTCAGTATTTCACGTACAATTTACCGGAAGTGATAAAATCTATCTAAATATATTAAATACCTACCTAGATTTGTTACGAAATTCAAAAGTTTGTTCAAAGAATTCACCTACAGTTATCAGCGAATCCACCCGAGTTAAAAAAAAAAGTTCTCCTTAATCCACGTATATTTCTCTAGAAATTCATCTTAATATGCCAATAAATGAACCTGAATTTTCGAAAAAAATATACCTAGAACTATTGAGGAATCTACCCGGATTTAAAGGGAAATCTGTCGAGATTTGCCGAGAAATCCATCTAGGCACACCGAGAAATCCATCTAGATTTGCCGAAAAATCCATCTAGGCATGTCGAGAAATCTATCTAGATTTGCCGAGAAATCCACCTAGATTTGCCGAGAAATCCAGCTAGTCATGTCAAGAAATCCATCTAGATTTGCCGAGAAATCCATCTAGATTTGCCGAGAAATCCATCTAGATTTGCCGAGAAATCCATCTAGGCATGTCGAGAAATCCATCTAGATTTGCCGAAAAATCCATGTAGGCATGCCGAGAAATCCACCTAGATTTGTCGAGAAATCCATCTAGGCATGTCGAGAAATCCATCTGGATCTACCGAGAAATCCATCTAGATTTGCCTAGAAATCCATCTAGATTGGCCGAGAAATCCACCTGGATCTGCGGAGAAATCGAGCTGGAATTTGGGAGGATTCTATCAGGGAAATCCATGCAAGAATCCGATTCTGGAAATCTATGTAGAATCCATATAGAATCTATACAAATCTACATGGAAATCTAGCTAGATATCTATATAGAAATCTAGCCTTGATTTCTTGATGGATTTTTTTAATAGGGAGAGTGCACATAATTCATGTACCTGTCAGTGAATCATTTATTTATCAATATTTACAAATATAATTATCAAAATTCAAAAAAACTGCATGTTTTTTAAGTTTTTCGATACACACCGGAAAGATGTTATTATTTCTTGGATTATCTTAAAATTTCTCTTGAGAGATTTTGATAAAAATTCATTTTGCGTAATTAATTACTATAAATTAAAGTAATGAAAGTAATTTTAGTAATTAATTAATTACTATTAATTTAAAGTTTTCTATGAGATCATTTAATTATACGATGTGCTTTCAATTAATTTTAACAGTTCTTATAAAAGATCTCAGAAAGAGAAGTCATCGCCCTGAATCAACCAAGCTTTATGAGATTCCTTATGAAATTCATTATGACAACTCCTATGTGATGGAGGCCAATAAGGATGCATTACGTCTCATAAGAGTTCTCAAAACCCCACATTAAACAGGAATTTTTAATCATAAACTTTCCATAAGCGTGGTGCTTACAGTATACTTACAGTAGAGATACCAAGTCGAGATTCCATAGATACTGGCATGTCATCGTCGCTCAAATCAAATTGATCATCTTCTGATGTACTTATAAACTGGACTGTTGAATGGCTGGCTTCATCACTATTTATAAACTGGCCTGCTGAATGTGTGTACAATTCCTTGCTGCTGTCTGGAATGATTGCCTCTTTATATATTGGTAGAGCACCAAATGACGTTTCATCGTCATAGTAGGTAGAATTACTTTTTCTGTCTGGAGATAAGTTGTTTCCAACTTCACGCAGTTTGATTTTCTGGTGGCGTCTACTATAGATCTCCTATCAAAACATTAATGACAATAAAATTATATAATTGCCTTTTGAAATATGACTATTATGTAAAACAAATTTCTGATATTTTCAGTTTTTGAATAGATTCAAATTGCATTTCATGTACACATAATTTACTATATCGATGAAGTAATTTGAGCAATGCTAATTATTATGTATTAGTTTGGTGAGAGAAGACATTTAGTGAAACCAACCTCCATATCATCTGTATCAGAACTACTGCTACTTGACATCCGCCTTTTTTTCGCTGCATGATCATATTTTGTAGATCTTGGATGACTATCTCCTGTATCTAGATATCGTTTATACTTTTTTGGCCTATTAGCCATGTTCTTATATCAATATGATAAAAATCAGTTTGATATGGCTGCTTCGTCAAAACCAGAGACAATGAGATTATTTTAAAAGCAATGTGAAAATCACAAGCTTCTTATGCCGACTGTACCTACAACGTGAATGAAGTTTTGATAATTCAATTTATTGTTATCGCTTTATAACTCAAATACTCAATCTATCACAACAGTACCTTTCGTATTCAGGACGTTAGATGAATTAATTTTTCGAAAATTCGAATGGCGTCATTGCGTCTAATTTTAATAGCATTGGCCGTTAGCGAGCAGCGAATTGTTGGCCTGAGGTGGCCCTAGTGCGTATATAGAGGTTGCGTTCGATTATCGCTCGGTGTACTGTTCGGTTCGCTCGTTTCAACTGTTCGCTCGTTCGAAAGTCATTTCGAGTCATCGTTCCAACCCATTAATAATGTAATTAATAAATATTTTGACACATGTACCTTGTCCTATGCACTTATTGTCGAAGCAGAATGACAGCAAGGGGTTAAATTACAGTGAAAAATGTCAAGTTCTCAAAAATAACCTGCCAAAATTGTAACCGGAATGAGCGAAAGGAGCGAACCGAAAAGTACACCGAGCAATCGAACGCAACCTCTATCTCTCTCTTTCTCACTCGTCTGTGCTGCTGTGGTCTCTCTCGAGTCTCAAGACTCAAGACTCAAGTCCCGAACAAAGAATAAAAACAAAGAGGGAAGCCGAAGAGAAAGTCAAAAATTGCCGATGGTTGCCGGTGCTGGTGCGTGTATGTATTATGTACGCAAGTTTGTTTATAAATACAAGGTGATTAATAAATAACTTGTTCGTGAATCAACAGTATCTGTGGAAATAAGTGTTGTTTTACACAAACATGGCTCAAACAGTATCGCATGCTTTCGTGTGGATCACAAAGGAGAAAATTCTTCAAGTGGTCACTGTTGAAGAGTTATGCGATTTTCTAGTACCGGAAAATAAGAATGATCTTTTAAGAAACAAATTTGTTCAAATGCGTGCAAGAAAAAAATCAACTAAGGACGCTATCCTTTTAGATTTAGGAAGTAAGTAGGTTATGGTCAGAACTTGCAGAATTTCTTATGAACACATCAAATCGGGTATCTTTAAACAAAATGAATAAAATGAACGTGATCTTATAATCTGATATAAACTTCCCGTGTGTGCAGCATTTTTAAATTAACAATAGCAGTAATTTGTAAGATCATCTTTTCTTATTATTTTCCAGGTCAAGATGAAATGATAGCTGCATCTATTGATAGCGAGTTATCCACAATTAGACATGCTGTAGTTAATTTCTTGAATAAGAAACAAATAGCAGTTATCGATGTTCAAAATGTTCAGCATTTTTGTGATACCCCACCAAAGCATGCACTTCAATTTTTAGAGTATACTACTTACCATGGTAAAGAAAAGGATGAAGATGATTATGAAAAAATATACATCTTTGCGTTAGGAGGTAAGATCTTGGAAAATTGAATTTTATTTAGTGCAATGAAATTACAATATTGTTATTCAATTTACAGATGATGAGAAAGTATCGATAGCATTCAATGAATTCAAGCACAACATTCATCATGCACTTGTACGTGTCATTGATGATGATTCAGTACAAGTAGCGTCCATTGAAAAAATTGAGGGTCTTGAACCAGAGAATAGATCAGATTACAATCAGTGGGAAGTTTATGCTGGACTAGAAATTACCGCTGAAGAATATACCAATTATCAAATCTTAAGATTAGGATGTAAGTTACAATTATTTATATTTCAGTAACCTTTTTTAATAGTTTTTTCTTATTTGTTTCTTAAAGGTTTTCTAGAATGTTCAAGTTTTATTGATATGTATAATGGCTTCGCACATGCTTTGGTTATTTTCAAACCAAGTAATCAGAAGGAAGTCATTCCAATTGATTTTGTGTACGAGTTCAAAAAAAGCCCTCCTGAAACGGCACAAGACTTTGATAAGAATAAACCTTATTCAGGTCGTTTAACTTCTTCTAGCAGATACAGCGCTATACAAATATTTGAATTGGGCCGTAAGTACTGTTGTAGAAGTATGAATTTATAAAATAAACTTATATAATAAATAATTATATTTTAGATGAACAAATATTGAATTTCAAGAAAATGAACGAGTAAAAAAGATTGAACATGAAAAAGTTCAATTCTAGTGATCTTCGAAAATGTGACAGAACTGTATCAGACTACAGTAGTGACAAAGAAGATTTAGAATATGACAGCGAGCAAAGTATCTTTGAACCTGCACCAAAACGAACTCGGCAGACAGTAAGAAAATTAAAATTATGTCTATAACTGTATCTAAAAATCTGAATTTTTTAATTTTTTTAGAAGCATAAGAAAAAACTTAGTTCATCTGAAGAAAGTGATGCAAAACATCAACGGAGGGCAGATATTTTGTTAAGTTCAGGATCAAGGAACATGCCTCAACAAAAAGAGTCTCACGCACATTACGACATGGATGATAATGAAGTTCTGAACAACAGAATTGCGAATCATGTGCATGCAGTTATTCCACCTACTTCCTTAACAATGCCACGTAAAAGAACTCCTTTGGGGCCTAACAATTCATCATACCATATAACAGCAAAGAGTAAAAAATATAAATAATTTACTGGATCATTTTGATATTTTTATTTGATTTAATGTACATGTAAATGAATTTTCGAAACTTCATAATCGTAAAGCACAAAACAAAGTTATCGATCACAGCTCCAATGATGAGAACAATCTTCCAAGTTCAGCAGTGAGACAAACACAAAGATATAGAAAAAAAAACAGAAATTTGGCAAGATTCAAACGTCAAACAAACTCTACCAGGACAGTTTACCGTGAAAAATATTACACAAACGATGGAAATCGATTTCATCTATCATCACAGGATTCTGACTCTGATGATGGGACCACGGAAGAGCGTGAAGTCTTCAAGCGTTTTGATGTCCAAAATCCAAATTCTGAAGAGGTTAGTTTCAAATCAAACGTTAAACCTTGAGTTTAAAAGTAAGAAATAATAATTAACTGTTCTACAGGCTGTGGGATACATTCATTTAGGTTGGAATATCAACATACTGTATTCTGATTGGAAAAGATGTAAAGTAGAGTCTACAGATGAGTATTCTTTTATATCAAATCTATCAGACACGATGTTTGGTAAAGGAATCCTCCAATTATTTTTACAAATCAAACCTTATATGAAAGTGGCTGATGGAAAGCCTAGAAGAGAAGTCACTGAAACTGAGTTGAAAGTTATAAAACGTAAGTAAGTTTCGCTCTTAATATTCGGTACTTTCTATTATTTATCGCACATCAAATAAATTTTTTTGTAGATTGTCTTAGATACTGGATAAATACTAAATGCCCAGTATTATTGACTGAAAGACCAATGGACATTATACTAAGTACCACAAGGGTGATATTATCAAACAAGATATCAGCTGAATTCAAGAAGTATGAGCAAAAAAAACCAAAGAATGTTTCTTACATGAAATCTACAAATTTTATTAGAAATCCAATCACGTCGAAGTATACTGAAGACTGAGTCAATCTACTTTTATAAAAATAGTCAATTCTTGTCAATCCTTGTAGCTAATATTGACGTAATATTATACTAGTTGGAAAAGAAATTCAAGATTATTACAACTAATTCTATTTAAAAGTAAAAAAATAATGTTAGTTTTGATGAAAAATATGTTTTCAGTGCGACTTCTTAATCATTTTATTAGATATGTATTTTCATTATTTTAACAATCATTTTAACTTTATTGAAAAACTCAAATAGAAAACGAACCTGCAATCATATGTCTTGCATCAAATTCTAGTTGTGGAATTAAAACAGACCATACTTTAGCCGTTTATATTGTGTCGAGAATGGAATGGAATCCTAGTGAAATAAAAAATTGAAAAAAAAATTTTTTGCGAGATAGTACGTGAGACTGAATAAGGCATTCATATTCACTTTTTCTTACTGTTGCGATTAGAGTAAACGTTGCATAACTTTTAATAATAATATCGTTTATGTTAAATGACGACGACTGTTTAACTTATCATTGTTAGCGATGTAGGACATGTTTTTACAGACATGCAAAATTTATCACAATATATGTACAACTTAACATAAGTAAAATAAATAAAATATGACTAGTGTTGTTGATTATGAAATATTCATTCTATTATTTTGACACTACCTTATCGATATAAAAAAAAAATTAAAATTTACAATTAAATTATTTTTTTTCTAAAATTTGTATTAATCCGTGCGAAATCCGTCCATTTTCCGTATGTTTTCCGTGCGTTTTCCGTACGGAAACCGTATGGAATTCGTACGGAAAACGCACGAAAAACGTACGGTTTTTTTCGGACAAACACCGTACGGAATCCGTGCGTAAAACGCACGGAAGACGTACGGATTAAGTAGGGAAATCCGTACGGTTTCCGTACGGTTTCCGTACGGTTTCCGTACGGTTTCCGTACGTATATTTGTGGCGGGGTGGTATATACAGAAACAGACAGTGATAACAATTTTTCTATCAGATATAAATTGATAGCTGCAATGAAAGCTCGAATAAAAACTTGTGTGAATAATCAAGTGCTTGTCGTAACTTGACCATGGGCATTCCTTGATTCAGGGAAAAGCCATCGTTCAAGATATTATTCTCTTGAAAATAAAATAATTATAAATACATTTGGTTTTACGCAGTACTTGTTAGTTAAGCAACAATTACAGCTCTTAATTATTTTTGTAGAATATGTATAAATTGGAAATTTGAAGCACTTAATGTCAGACAAGTTGTTCGAGTTTTTGTTATAGCAATCAATTTATATCTAATATAGACACATGAGTTATTGTTATCACTCTGTCTTTGAATCTTGCTATTTCCTCTTCTTAATTCATCTTCTGTAGACAAATCATGACTAGTGTTGTTGATTATGAAATATTCATTCTATTATTTTGACACTATATTATCGATATAAAAAAAAATAAAAATTTACAATTAAATTATTTTTTTTCTAAAATTTGTATTAATCCGTGCGAAATCCGTACATTTTCCGTATGTTTTCCGTGCGTTTTCCGTACGGAATCTGTACGGAATTCGTACGTAAAACACACGGAAGACGTACGGATTATGTAGAGAAATCCGTACGGTTTCCGTACGGTTTCCGTACGTATATTTCTGGCGGGGCATATATATAGCTTGAAATGCAAATACAATCTCATACCTATTCTTCCTATCCAATATACGGACAATTATAATTTGATACCAGCAATAAAAGTTCAAATAATGACTTCTATGAAATGTCAAGTACTTTTCATAACATGATCCTGGGCATTCCTTGGTCCAATGCAAGGCCATCCTTGAAAGATATTATTCTCATGTAAAAAATTCATATATATCCATACAGCAGTGATTGGTCGAGTACCAATTACAGCAATCAATTATATTTGTACTCATACACCTGTGTTGTAAAAGACAGGCATGAAAATAAGTTGCTTTAAAAAAAGGCATTGATTAATGGAGAATATTTCAATCCAAACCTTGTCGTACTTCAAGTTTTTGGTAAATATGTATTAATATAAAGTTGAGTACTTTTACCAATTAATGATAGATTCTGAAACTATAGCAAATGTAGATGTTATTCCATATATATATATCCCTAAAATGAGTCCTTCATGGCCAAAATTCTGCTAAAAAGTTGGACATTTTCTAAAATTTTAAACGTAAATTTTGAACCGTTGAACTGATATGAAGTTGTCCGTATAAATGAATAAATAAATTAATATATAATAAGTCTCATGAAAATTCCAATGTGGAAAAAGCTCAAGTGATATTCTTTTATAGAGCCATCATAGTGTATCTATTTATCAACTGTTCACCCTATGAAAATGTTATCATCAATTGCAAACTTACATTATTTTGTACACTGATTTCATCTCTATTTATATCACATTGATTGCTTATATCTGAATATGCACAGGATTGATTGTTAACATCTGAATGGGTTTGAGATTGATTAACATCTGAATGTATGTGAGATTGATTGAAACCTAAATAAACTATTTGATTTTAATATTTTTCAATTATTTGAGTATAATTTTAAGGAATTATCCAATCATTTTTTATCCAATATTATTTACAAAATGTTAATACTTTTCTATGGCATGTATAACTGAATAATTTTGAATTAAATTGATTCAAACGTAGTTCTGTAGTTTTCAAAAGATTAAAGATTATAAAGTCAATGTTATTTTATCATAAACTTTTCAATATTTTCAATTATACAAGCAGAAAGTAAATCTATGAAAAAAATAGAAATCAGTGATAACTTGATTGTATTACCTTCTGAATTGGATAGGACGTCCACATTGAAACCTGATTGTTCATTATTATCTGTAAATGATAGTTGATCAGACTGCCTTAATTTTATAAATAAACTATTGTGACGTCGGGGTCACTCTCAGGTACGCTTGGAGTAAGCGTAAACTCAGGGTTGCTCTGATTTGGCTATCGTGTAACACATAAGCCGGGACAAGCAATATTGTTGCGTTAAGAAAACTGTATGCTAACGCGGAATGTAATAACCAAATGTTATTACGAACACACCAGACTCACGCTTAATGTGTTCTTAAAGGACTTTAATGAAAATTCACCAGACTCACGCTTAATAAATTTCCAAAAAAAAGGGCGGATTGCGTAAAGAAAGAAAAGGATAGCCAGATATAAGATTTTACTTACTGTTATTTTTTCTAATTACTTATTATTAAGGCTGCGTTCTCTCTGCTCTTTGGCCTCTTTCTCTCTCTATATATTCTGAATATATTTGGGTGGCTTCTTAATTGAATTTTGGCTGACTTTTTCTTCTTTGATGCTTCCTCCAGCACTCACTCACTGGTAATCACTTCTTGTTAGGCACTTCCTGGTGCCCACTCCACTCTGCCCTCCAGTCTTGTACAGAGCTTTTTATAAGCAGTGGGTGGTTGGGTGGAAATCCCTCTCCACAGGCCCATGAAGCGATAACGGCCAAATTTTGTATTGGTGGGAAATTTTCTAATCATATCTAGGATTTCTTTATTGGTCTGTGGGCGTGAATTTTCAGAGAGAGAAATGGCGGTCCCCTTTTAACTTGGGCCCTTTTCTCCAGAGATGGCTCTCGGAGTGCCACTTTTAAGAGCAAGAGTAACGCTATAGTTTATAATTACTTACACAAAAGCGTACTAAACTTAATTAATTTTAAGGATACATAGTGATTATTATAAACATTCAGATAAATCCAAACCTTTTACGATTTATTATAAAATACATTATTGTTCTAATATAAAATTATTTATTGGTTATTCGGTGACAAAAAGATGCGCATTATAATAATTTACAAAATTGATGAAAATCTATTTAATATTACGGATATTTTCTTAAAATTCGGTGGAAAAAAAGATAGATTGCATTTTTATGGTCCCCTTCCATTATCAGCGTGATAGCACTTCATGATGTATACGCGATGATCGTAGGCTCCTGTCAACACATGCGCGTGGGACAAAGTAGGATAGAGCGTTGATTGTAAGGCCGAGTACGCAGGCTCGGGCCACTATAAACACTTTATCTCGAACGCGTTTTCATCGTGGGACATCAGGAAGGTTCCCACTCCGTTCGTCATATTTAATAATTAAATTAAAAAAAGCTAAGTTACGGCTAGCCGTCACACCCCCCACACTTAAACGATTGCTAGAGGAGTGCAACGAGGAAGAGCAATCGAAATTTTTATTCTAATTATAAAGATCTTGCTGTAATCATGCTGTAATCAAGGTTTTATCATTTTATTTGATAGTTTATTAATCTCAAAGATCTTGCCCTAACATGGGAGGAACCCAAACGATGGTTTAACTGCTTGAGATTGTAATGCTGGAATCGAATTACTCTGGTTGTGTTGTGTTATTTCATTTTCTGTTGTACGTAGAGTTGGATATAATTCCTGTCCAGGAGTGGCGGCAATATTTGCTGGTGATTCTACATCCCTTTTCGCTTCTGTAGGTTTCGGTGCTAAATGTATCAGAAACGTAGTTAAACTATTCCATATGGCCCCAATCAGATGAAAAGACTATCCATAAATGCTATGTAGAGTTATTCCATTGATGAGGACTTCTATTAATTTTTTTGTAGTTTGGATAATTAGTATAATTACAAGTATACCGACACTGAAAGTACCAAAGGTCATAAATTTCATCCACATTTTGTTCCAGGTATTGACTACTAACTGCTCCATTACATTCTCGTTCATTAACCTTCCACTTATTCCGTTATTGTCTTTTATGGCGTGTCCACGAATTTCTCGGGTTACATCATTTATTACTGCAGATTGCTCCAAGGGGAACAGGATTCTGTTCATTTAATCTTGTAGATCCTTTTCTGTATATATTCCGCTGGTGGCTAGTGAGGGAATATTCTGGTACTTCCAGGTTAATCCAGAAAAAGGCCTAAGAGTGGTGGGTGGTTTTGCTTCTACTGCTCTTGGTAAAAACTTATACCAGTCATCATTGAAATAAAAGAATGTGGGTAGGAGAGCATTACAATCAACTACTGTCCCATAAGCCTTCAAAATATGTGTTTTGGGAGATAAGAATTTGGTATGGTTGTTATGGATTACTTTTAGTTCAGCATAACATTCGTCTCCTTGCGATACTTTCACATCAACGGGTATACACTTAATGATGTGCACTACCTCTCCTGCTGTCACAGTCATGTATCCGGGTCCTTTCATGAGATTATAGGCAAACTAATCGGGAGATTGACTAGCAATTGCAAGTGCATTTCTCATAATTTCTCTTTCTTGCTTACAGCGATGTACGACAACATCCTTGTACATAAGACTTAATTGTACTTTTATGTGACGTTCTACATATACAAACTTAGAATTTACATACGCAAATATATCTCGGTTGTTCATTGATATTTTCTTACTTAGAAAAAATGCATTATTTTCGACAATATAGACAAATAATTTTGGGTGTTCAGTAACTAAAATTTCGTCACCACATAGATTACGTTTAGATTTGGGTATTAACACAAAAGCAATGTCTTGTGTTACTAACGAG